CCTTAGTGATTCTGTGATTCTGTGAAAATTTCAGCACTTTGTTCCCCCGCCTCCCCCCACCCCTGAAATACACGTTCCTTTGAACAACCACCATTGCATAATTCACCTGGCTTCTTTCCACACTTCTATTTAAAAGCTCTCAGGGAACGCAGTACAATCTCATTTTGCAAAATTATACACTTTATTACTCCAAGCTATCAGGATCAGGCTATTTCAGTCCTTGCAACCCTCACATCCGAGATGGCTCCACCTTGTGTAGGGTGACACAGATGTTACCTAGTGATGCTCTTTCCCAGCGAGATTCATATTTTCCACGCTGGCACCCCCAAGGATGCTAATGGGGTGTCTTCCTTTTGGCAGGGAGCCCCAGAAGGTGCCCTCCATCATAAACACTTTGTGCTGGTGTTGTAATCTCCTAAATTCTGTTTCCAAAAATGTGCTCGTCGTTACGTGTTGTGCCTCGCGACACTACTTTTTGTTCTACTCACACTTTTTGGTTCAGTTAGAAAAGACATAGAGCTCACTGAAGTATCAGAGAAGCAGCAAAGCATAGATATTGACTCTAAAATGCTATAAAAGGGCCTCCAGTAAATGTTTGCCTATCCCTGACATACATCGGTATTTTAATACTGATATTTCCAGAGGTAAAATACCTCCTTCCTTCTTCTGCCTGTTTCTGTTTCAGGAAACTCATGCTGACGTGAACCATGTTTTCTCCCATCTGCTGCCACTACTGAATAAATGAAAAATGACAGAATTATACTGCCAGTAGCTTTGAAAGTTAACAACCTTACGCCCATTGCCATATGGCTTCTCCATACATTTTTTCCTGATGAATATCAGCTACTAGGACAAGGCTTATTTCAATTGCCTTCATACTGTGAATGAGTTAAAACTAACTGTAAGGATACAATTCAAGAAAGCTTAGAAGAACAGCAGCTCATTTTGCCTCCTTCTTTGAACAGACATAAAGGCAAGACAATGTGTTAATTATCATTCATTATTTAGCAACAGAAGCCTTCTGTTTGTCAACTGCACACTGCTACCAAAGCCAAACATTCCAAAAAATGCTCTTTGAGCCTTTATCTTCATTTTTTTTTGCATTTTTAATTTTGCAGCTTTCCTTTCCAAAAAAGAGCTGTATCCTTATCCTTAGTTTCCAGAAGGGGATTTTGAGGCAAAAAAGGAGGAAGAGCACTTAAAAAAAAAAGAAAAGATGATAAATAATTTATACCTATAAAACAAACAAGCACAAGAGACCAGATTTTAATCTCAATTACACAATAGCTACACCTGCAACTTTTCCAGCTTTCATAGAAAATATCCCTATAATTCCATCAGAGAAAAATCTCTACAGTGTAAGTCACATCAAACAGAATTACATGCACTACCAAAGTCACAGAAAATGTAAATACGGCAAAAGCTCTTTAGCAAGAAATGCATTGAATGGTCTAGAAGTAGTTGGAATTTTTAATCCCTCTGCAGCTCTCAGTTAAGTACTCTGGGCTTGACCCAGGGCATCAGCGCAGCCCATTTTCTTCAGCAGAGCTAAATGCCTGGGCTGTGGTCTGTTTTGGGCCAACAATTGACCCAATCAATTAACAGTTGAATGTCACAGCCCGCTAAATTCAGCAGTTTTATTTTCCTGTGTTTTATTAAACGGGGTCCAAACCTGTCTGCATTTTGTTGGATTTTAGGCACCACGGTTAAAGATGGTGGGCTCAGAAACAGCAGAGACCATTGGGATACTAACAGTCCTCCTGGACTGCAGTTTCTAACCCTGATCTTTTTCTTTCTGTCATGGGGGCTGCTGCTCCTTATCATAATTGGAACTTCCAGAAGGTAAGAGGAGGGGAGGCTAATCAGGATGAATGTATTGCACCTGCAAATGTAGACCATGCAGTGCTGAAGCTTCATTAACGCTCTGCAGGAGCTCAGCTTGTACAACCTCTACTCACGTTGCTTGTAGTTGGTTTACTAGCAGCCTCCAAAATTGTGGGACCCACGGACGCCTCTCGGTTACTGGGGCTGGATGTATAAATCCTGACTACACACAGACCTCATTATACATTGCTCCAAAAGTTTCCATTGGAAAGAAACCTGTGCAGACCAGGCTTCAGCTGCTCCACTCAATACTCAAAGTGCAACGGCCCAGCGCCTCCACTCAGTGACACACGGTCTAGACCAGCGTCTGAGTAAGGGCTACTCCAGCACGAGTAGGGTCTGCACACATTCATACAGCACACGGTTATCTCATATTGCATTCTACCTTCTAGTTTCTAGAATAAATCCAAGTAAAAATCATAAAAAAATACTATTTGCCATTTTGGCAAGAAAGCAAAAGGTATTTTGTATAAAATGCAAGGAAATAAAGGGCAAAAATAGGTCATTATATGAACACTCCAATATGCTACATCAGTTTAATCCATGCCTTTATTATGGCAGACAGTAGTGATTGTAATGACAACAGCTAAAGAAGCAATGAAAGCTTTCTAGCAAGGCTTTGCTCTTTGAACCTGCTATTACTGAGTAAAAAACCCACGAAACCTCAGTATTGCTCCTAATACTGAAATACAATTAAAATACGCTTTTTAACATAGAATGTCTTGAGCAGGATTATATAATAAATCAAAAAAACACCGTGTCATTATTTGAAAATGAATAAATATTTCCTCTAGTTTCTAAGTAAACTTGTCAAGAGTAAACTGATTGCAGATTGCAGACTCAGGTTCCAAGGTGATAGTGCTACCACTGGATTTATGGGTGTGAGTATCAGCATCAGGGTGGCAGACTTAACTTTAGAACTCTAATACTGAAAAAATGATATAGAAATGTGCATATACAAAAGTACTTGTTTTTAAGATCAAATTTGAGTCACACTGAGTCTTAGACAGAGAGGGACCTTTTAACATGAAAGGAAAATACCTCTTTGTGTGTTTGAACTCGTCCTGTGACTGTACGCTTGGTGTGTGAAAATATTGTTTACTGATTCAAGGAGAAAGTCAATACAATGGAGTAGAAGGTAAAAGCAACCTCCTTGCTATTTCTTTTTTGACACTGGCCATGGATACACTGCAATGCAGATAATCAGCTCTTACATAAAGGGATTCTGGAGGACAAGGACAATGAGAATAATCGACTGATGTGGGAACATTTGCCTCCAGTTTTTACATGTTTTTGTAGGAAATTAATCTGTGATTCAACAATCTGAAAGAAGAACCTCCCAAAACACTGCATAACACTTAAATATCTCTGTGTGGAGTATAAGGCTACAATAAAATAATTGACGGGAATAGGACAGTAGCTAGAAACTTTGAACCATGGATGCATATGCACCATCAATCCTGGGTCTGAATGCTCACAGCCCAAACCATCTCTCAGAAGAAACAAGTTGTGTTTCTAACTGGAGCCTGCTGCTTTTACAGGGGAGGTGTGCTGCAGCTGGCATGTTCCCATGTAATGTCTGGACATGCTAGAGGAAGTCTCCAAAATATCAGATTAATGCCATCAATGGCCTGTTTGAGATACTTTTATCTTACCTGTTGTCCTGAAATGAACTGTTGCTTTGTCATAACAGGTCCCTTTAGGACATCACCAGTCCCCTTGTTCTGACTGTTGGAACAGTAATGATCATCAGCTATCGTGATTTGCTCATTTTCTTCAGCTTCCAGCTGGCTCTGGTTGAAACGCAGGGAACCCTTCAGGATATCCTTGATCTGTTGTTGAATGGGACGGGAAAGAATGTAAGTTAGAAATTTGGTGGAATTCTAAATTTTCTAAAGCTTTGTGCAGCATGCTTTCGTACACCATTTCCCCAAAATACCTGCTTTGGAGAGATAGGAAGCAAGTCAATATTCATATCTATATAGACTAAAGATATAAAACTCAGTGGTATGGTTGTATCAGAGTCTGGAAAACAACTATTCGAGAAATCTAAAGAAAACTAAACTGTTAAGATTACTCCCTACTCATTATAGGTTTAACATATGTCACATTGTTCCTTATAAAATGTACTTCAAGGGAGCAGAGGACAGTATAATCAGAGCTACAGATGCTCAGCAGCCTTCTCATTTTATGTATGCAGTATTTTTTCTTTTAATTCAGTGACATTCAAGTGTTGTCACATTTAAATAATGGGGACATAGGCATGATTATTCCCTAGCATGTGCATTCTGTATTAAGAAAAATGACGGTGTGGCTTAAGTCTAGAAGTTGGTGTCACACTGCCTCAGTTCTGGTTTGAGGCACCCAGAACTTTTCAGGGAGCAAATATTGTGCAAGTCATTTGAACTCTTTATATCTGAGTTTTACCTTTTTAAATAAAAGTACACCAGAACGCTTGATGCATTAGTATTAGTAAAACAGCTACAACAAGACAAAACAGCAGCATACAAAAACAATAAAAAGGGAGAAAAAAAGGAAAAGATTAATAGCACTGAAGGGTACAAGAAGGTTAAGTTAAGCAATAGTCATACCTGCTTCAAACCAGCCAAGGAAACCAGAATTTCATCTTCTTTTTCCAAGTGTTCTTGTAATATGACTTCCTGAATATTTCCTGCAACATCAAAAGGAAAAAAGGTAAAGAGAGAAAATTCCCTAAATAATTTCTAACATGCTGCCAACTTACCACTGACTTATGCTCTCAAAACAAAATCCTGTGACCTGCAAACACAATTTTGCACACAGACCTAAAGGCTGACAACTTTATTAGCTGTGGAGGTGAGGCCAGCCCAAGCCTGGCACTGGTGCCAGGAGGCTTCCAGCAACACTGTGCTGCTGTGGGATTTCTACTGCCCCAGACTCGGGCACCTACTGTCCCCTAGAAGAAAACACTGGCCTCTGTGGCTAATAGTTACACACATCTTTGAGCCTGCAAATGCTTTGGAAAGTACTCAAGAACATTTACAGGAATCTGCTTCAGCTTGAAGAAAGGCTTAGGGTAGGAGCTCAGCAATCTTCATCTCGATCCTGTGGCCACTGCAGATGCTAGAACGCTCTTCTTTTTAAAAAGACTGAAAGTTTTGTTCCTTTTCCAATCCCTTCTTTTAGGTAAAAGACCAAGGCCTGAGCACAATTTATTTGACAGAAAGAGCAGTGCAGTATCGTCACTTCAGAAGACACCTGACTTCCATACCTACAGTGCTGTCCTCCAAGGATGCATTTCAATAATCTGCTATAAAGTGTTTGCAGGAGTCAGGGCTGGAAGACTGGCTAACATGAGAGGTGGAGCTGTGGTGGTCTTCCCTGTGTCAGGGAAATCCCAGGCAATCATAGAATCATGGAATAGTTTGGGTTGGAAGAGACCTTTAAAGGTCATCTAGTCCAACTCCCCTGCAACGAGCAGGGACATCTTCAACTAGACCAGGTTGCTCAGAGCCCTGTCTGACCCGACCGTGACTGTTTCCAGGGATGGGGCATCTACCACCTCTCTGGGCAACCTGAACCAGTGTTTCATCACCCTCTTTGGTGGTGAAAAATTTCTTCCTTAGATCTAGCCGAAATCTACCTTCTTTTAGTTTAAAGCCACTACCCCTTTTCCAAACCATCCCAGAGAAACTATGCCTCCAATAGCTCTGCAGACTCTTTAAACTATGTCAGGTCCTTCTCCAGCCTCCTAGCTCCTACCTCTTTAAGAAAACAGCAATGATTCCTCGTGACAGATTTACAGAATGAGATGGTATCTGTCAACTGAAAATGACAGGATACTCTTTTGTGCCACTCCTGTCTTACATACACAGAGCTGAGCCCAAATCCCTCAGTTGACACTCATTTGGGAACACCACTTTGCTGCTCATGAGTATCTGTACCCCAGGTGCTTCACAATTAGAGCTTTGTACCATTAATCCACACCTGCATTGCATTTGTTTGTTTTTAAAAACATCCTACATGCTCAGGGCCCAAACCAGTGAAAGGCCAAAACTGTTGTCACAGATTATGCTGACAAGGATGAATACGATGACACTGCCAACTTTGACACAACATGAAGTTTCGAGTAAAAGCATTGAGCAATTGGGTGTAAGTTTTGTGTTTACAGAATAAATAGCAAAAGAATGAGTAGTGGGAGACTGGACAAGAAGAAAGATTGAAGGTAGAGAGGTGGATTTAAAATCCACATATAAACACAGATGTTTGAAATTGCATGGGGGCCAGAAATCAGTAACGGGTATAAATGAAGAACGGAAAGGGCAAAGAAGAGAAAGGATCCAAGGATTGAAGCCTAAGCGCTAAATGAACCGCTAAAGAATCCATCTGAAAAGTAGAAGGAATAAAAGAGGCTGGAGCCATGAAAGGCAATAGATGGCAAAAGTTGATGAAAGGTGGCATGATCAAGGTCAAGAGCAACAGTGGGGGTCAGATAACTCAGCTTTGCGTAAGCACAGCCGACCTGAACAAGGAGATCCATGTTTACATTATTTAGCACTCATTATTTACCATGTAACAGCAGCAGTGTCCTGCAGTAATGAAGTCAAACGTAGTACAATTGAACAATGTCTAGTATAAATTTTACATCAGAAAGACACGGCATTATGAAGGCTAGAAATAATATAAAACTAGATCTTTCCACAAATATGTAGCACCATGAATTGAGAGAAAGCATAATTAATGTCAACATTTTACTTGTTTTTTTTAGATTTTACATCAAAACTGTCTAGTCTTTCAATTAGGTAAATAAAAGTTATTAATATTTACTTATAAAAAAATACTTTAGATCCTGATTTCCACTGTTTAACAAACAACACATGATTTCTTACTTTTATAAGTTTCAGAACTTGAAACATTAGAAGTCCAAAGTCTTCATAGGCAGGAAAGCAATGCTTAATCCCAGTCTGAATCACTGAATTGAACTGTCTTTTCCACTTCGCAGCATTAGAAAGAAAAGTGTTTCTATAGTGTTTGATCTCCACATAAATTAAAACCATGCATTAAATAACTAAAGTATGCATACTGACTAAGCAGATGGACCAAGAAAATAGTTCAAAACAAATCTCCAACCTCCTGAAGACCAAATAAGCAAAACCTAAAAAATCAGGAAAATAAGAGCGGGAGAACAAAAGCTGAAAGACATTCCACATGATGAGGATATAATCTACCATTATTTCTGTTCTTTAGAGATGTTTATAAGTCATTATTTAAAAAAAAATGGAAAAGAAACTATCATTGCTACAAAACCCAGCTGTAACTATATTTGAAGTGCCAGTACATTGAGAAATTTCTAAGAACTTATGAATGGAACTATGATAGTTAGCCAGTAGTAAAAATCAATAAAAATGTTTATATTATCACATATTTACTTTAGCAAAATTAGTACCAATTTTTAATATTAGTTTCACAGAAAAAAAGATTATGAGAGAAAAAATTGGAAATACAACAAAATTTTCTAATATTGAACTGCTGGATTTCTAACATTTTTCTTTCAATCTGCAGTATGTTTTAAAGTACAGCGTGACATTTGTCTTGGATATATAGGGTCTGTTATTTTTAATCACTTAAAATCACTAAAAAGTGTTTTGGAAAAATTTCCACTCGGTTTGGTCTAAGACACAATTCTGGACTCAAAGAGCACACTTCCACTTAACTCAGAAAAACGCCCCAAGATGCAAATCACTGTAATCAGCCACTTACTCCCCGCCATTAAGTAACAGTTGTGACATAAGGTCGTAAATTGGGATGTCTTTCTCTAGTACAATGAAGCAGAATGAAGGTTTCCCTATGGAACTGGCAATGGATCTTTCTTCTAAATATACCCTTGAACTGCACGTGGCTTCTAATCTACTACCCTCATCCATTTTGCATGCAGAGTTTGTTATCTACCAAATAAGTGATAAGTATGGAACCCAAATTATCAGTCCTCATTCTTTTTCCCTCTCTAGTGAGGAGAGAGGAATTAAAAAAAGTAATTCCTTAGACAAGAGAAGCTATTTGGGCAATGTGATTTTTCATGAGTCCCTCCTCAATCACGTCTTCCTGCTGGGACCACACTTCATAATCCATGTAGACTGGAAACAGGGGTGGGAAGAAGAGGAGGGATGGCAAGCGGCTCGGTACGTACCTCCGCAGCTGCAGTCCCGTGAATGGCTGTGCCAGGGGCTCAGCAGCCCTCACCTGAGGGACCTTCATCCAAGCATCTTTCCACTGCTGAGGAGACCTCACAGGGCAGTCAGTTGCTGAGATGAACTGGGAAACTAAGCTCTCAAGTGCAGACAGGAGCTTTTTATTTTACCCTTCTCTATCTCAAAAGATAACTTTCTAACTGTAAATACATTTAAAAACACTAGCTCTGTTAAGAGTGCTAGGAAGCATGATATTTGATGTATTGCTCAGCTGAAGGACTTTTACATTAAGCTGAGATGTATTGTTAAATTATTCTTCCTTCATAGGAGATGCTACTATATTTTGAGAAAAGTGCTTTATGTATATAAATGAATTGGCCATGTATTGATTTTTTCCTTATCTGATGTTCTGTATCAGTACCTCACAGCTTTAGGTAATTTTTTTTCCCATAAAATAATAACTATGTTTTTTTAAAAACCCCACAGATATCAATTAGGAACTGAAAACACCTTCCTACTGGTAAAAAAGCCATTGATACAATGAATTAAACAAATTGAATACATGATTTCCAGATTATTCAAAACAGATTATAGTTTGATTTTATGCTATAAATATCCATCTTATTGGGATAGCCGTTATTCAAAAGTTAAGAAAATCCTATGGTACTTCAGAGACTGAGACTAAGGTCAAATATTTCTGGCTACCTTTTTTTGTTTTGTTTTCTTTCAGCAAGATTTCATTGAGCTGATGCCAAATGCCTTCTGGAGAAAAAGAAAATATTTCTGTTTCAGTGAATTTCTTAACAGAAGAAAACAAAAAGTGAAATTTGCAACCTGTTACCTGATGGTCGGAGCACTGCTGTGATCTGTAAGAGATCCCAGACAGACATTGCGTGATTCTGGATTTGTTTCAACATGGTACTAACACATCTCTAAGTTTCACAAAGTGACCTGTCATACCTTAACTGTACTCCTGGATTAAGCCTCAGAAATACTGGAGCTATAAACCCAGTTCTCTTTGGCAGTCAGTAATGTTATCTACTATTATGGCTGCCCTCAAACAAGACTCACAGCCCACGGGATGCCTTCTATATAATGGATTAGCATTAATTTTGGGTACTTCTTGCCAAATGAGCAGATTCATTTAAGTTTGATAGATACTAGACCAGTAAATCAATAATTATTTTCTTAGCAAGACTGTGATCAGCTGCCTTGATATACTTTAAAGCAAACTATAACTACAGAGGAATAATATGTAGACGATTGCATTTCTGTCTTTCTTTTCTATAAAATATAGAAAAACAATGTATCTAGTAGTGATTTGGCTAGCTACAGGCTAGCTGAAACAGCTGAAGATTTAAGATGAAATGTATTTTTCATTTCTTGCTCTTACAGGTATGACAAATTGTAAATAAGTTCACATGCAAAGTTACTGTAGAAGTATATTTAAAAAAAATCAAATTTCTATTTCCTCTCCCTAATTTCCAAAACTTCACTTGACGAC